ATATATATATATATATATATATATATATATATATATATATTTCTACCATCCATTCAAAGTATTTATACATATGAGAGTACGAGGGTTTTTAAGAAACTATGGAATTTTATGAAAATTTTGTATGAATACTTGTTCGGTACATAGATCAGATTATTTACTTAGACCAGCACAGCAGAGAGACAAAATTCATAACAAAAGTATGTCTTTTGAAGACACAGCATACAGACATAGATGAAGGTTTTTCTTTTGTGATCTATTTTTCACGTAATTTAAGCTAATATTTGATGAACCCATAGCCTTTTTCATGTGAAATTCTCGCAAGGATTTACAGTATAAAAGCTTTCGCTTCTATTCTCATCAAATACACGCTTTTATTTACTATTTTATCTTGCATACACAGTTTGCATGTACAGTAAAATCAAAAATGTTGTTAATGTTTGGGAAAATCGCATACAAATATATTTTATTTTATTAAATAAACTGGTTTGTTATCAATTATTCATTCTTAAAGAGTTTTCGAAAGTGCATATACACACACACACACCATCAAAAGCACATTTCGTTTTCTACATAATTTCTTTCATAATGATGTCGAAAGGCGAAGAAAATTTAAAAATATATTTACGTGAGTAAATAAATTTCTCTTTTTTTTTTATTTTTTTTTTACTCTCACTTTATAGAAGACCGGTGAAAAATGTCTCGTAAGGGATTTACATATGCATTGTTTTGAGATGATCAACAAATAAGATTCGTCGAAGCATGGATGTACTTTATGGTAATACCCCAATAATCGAGCATTGCTTCTTTATTTGATTACGAAATTTTTGAGTTTAAGATGAAGTTGATCTGTTTTGTCGTGATGTACGATTTCAGCAGACGGACATATAGATTCTATTAGAGCGTTTCCTCATTTTACTCTGATCAACTTGGGAAACAACAAATATGCGATAAGACAAAATCAAATGAAAATTGATTGCGACGAATATAGGAGATGTATATATATATATATATATATATATATAAATATAAAAAATAGGAATAATATCTTACCTTCTGGTTGCTGTTGGTCTTGCTCTTCTTCTTCACCGACATTATTAGGATTTATCGTCTCGTTATCGCTGTCGAGATTAATTTCCTGAATTTTGTCCTCAATTTCTAATATTTGTTGTTTTGTGTTTATTGATAGATTTTCATAATTTGAACTGTGGTGCGTGACTAGTGTTGCACTGATATTATTGTTATTATTAATATTCATTTCACTCATTATGATAATAGATAAGCGAATAGTCTCTGCAGTTATAAAATGTTATTTCTTTAAATTATTTATTTTTTTTATTTCTAATTTTATTAAAATAAAAAATATTTTATTTATATTTATTTAGTTTCAAAAAGAAAGAAAGAAAAAAGGAAAATGAAAATAAAAATAAATGTTTCCTTTTCTTTCGTGGACAAAGTTTAATTTAATGTGTTCTTGGAATGCAGAATGCGAGAAGTACTGTTACGCGCAACGCACTTTCACGCACTAACTTAGCGCTATGCTCGTCTACTTCTAAGAACTGTTGAAAATTTCAAATTAACAACTACAACAAACGACAATAGACAACATGAAAGAGTCCAAAATTCGAATCTAGATAGGAAACATATATACATATATACATATATATATATATGTATATATGTACAATAAATAGTATATGTGCGTTTGTTTATATGCGTAACGCAAGAACATTACTTATTACAGTTAAGGCTCATTTAGGTATTTGTTTTCTCTTGTGTTGTTGTTGTTGTTGTGCTTGTATATTACTACTTTTTTTTTTCTTTCTTTTTAATTTGAATTGAAAAGAACAGTACGTAAAACTAGGGAAAGATGCGTATACTGCCTTTCACACCAACAGGCACACGATTGCAGGACTAAGTACAGAATGCTGTGGGGGTCACAAGTGACGGACACACGTGTAGTTGAGGGGTCGATTGTTGATATCATTACTACATATAAGGGATGAAAAGGTGAATGGCCCATTTACTTGTCCAGAAGTAATAGGATCACACTAACGAAACTCCTATGCTATGACATTTCGGGATTTAAAAATATATTCATTTTTTATTTATGCCTATATAAGTAAGCAATTTCTTGGAATCGGAAAATATAAATATGTGATCATCGTCGATAGCTTATACCCAAAATTAATACAGAAAATTCATTTCGTTCCCGGAGTTTGCTTTCACAATTTTTTTGTTTTTTTATCGGACGAACGCGTCCAGTTTGATATTCAATCAGTAGGTGTTAGTCAAAAATATTTTCGAAAAATGTTGCTTTTGTATTTTGATTTTTGCGATTTTTATAGCTCTAAACTGAAGAGACGGATGGACGAAACAGTATTTTTTTTTTTTTTTTCTTTTTGCATATGACCAGCTACTCAGGGGATGTCCCCTCTAAGAGCAAGCACGATGGCGTTGAGAAAGAATTACAAGTGAAGAGACTAAAAATGAAAACTTAAGGTACGGTGGGAAAAATCCTTGCTACTAGATTGTTTCAAAGGCGGGTAGTGTGACTAAAGATAGACGAGACGCATTAGTGTGTCGTACGGTATGCAGGCAAATCAAGGACGAGTGAGTGGGAACGCTGAGAAAGCCTTACGGTCCTAGTAGAGGATTCACCTTGTGGACGTCTCCGTAGAACGCTTGCCCTGGATGTGTCTAATGCATAAACACTATACAGTTCACTTCTGCCGATGCTGGAGGATATCGAGATTTTCGTCTCGAAGCCGTATTTCGTGGCCCCTACCCACATGTGCAAGTTATGCTCTAATTTTGGCCGCATAAAGGTCATATAAATGGTACGGATTTCAGCTGCAGCGAAGAATTTTTTCCATCACTTTAAAAAATCTGAACTCCTCATTGCATCTCTTGACACTCTGAATATATGTTTTGCTTAACGGCACATAATTTTGCATTCTGATGCCCAGATAATCAAGGGAGCTTGTTCATCACTTCCTCTATGCGTGAAAACACAGCACTGTGCTTTCGTGGACTTAAAATTCACCCTATTAACTAAATGCCTTCTTGTAATTTTTGTGAGGCCTCGATTTAATGTGCTGTTCATCATGCGGCGGTTTTTATGCACTTCGGTGTTGCTGGGTCTTCGCGTGAAAGCGAACGCGGTTTTCTACCAAGCGTACAACATCGTTGGTGAGACCCGTATAGACCGAAGGAGAAGGATTACATGTTGAAAAAATACAAAATTAGACAAAATAGTATTCACCTTGAGTTGATTTTAAGATATCGACTATTTCAGGAGAATTGTGCGAAAAACGCTTACAGTGAGCTGATTGAAACCAGTTTTGTCCAAAAAAAAAAAAAAAAAAAAAAAAATGATGTGTAACTAATGGCGAATCTATTCTAACTAGGACCGAAAATTATTTTGCTAAGTTTTTAATTTAGTTTTAT